TACAATCTTGGTCTATTGCAAGCTACCCAGATGACTTCACTGAACATGGTATGCACATTAATACATTACATAGTATTTCTACCATGCAGATATGCTAGAGATAAATAACCTCAGAAGCATATGTAGTAGTAAAGTGTAGCAACATAATTAGGAAATGAAGAGTTATAAATATTTATTACCTTAAAAAATATATTTAATTGTAGATTTAAATAATTTCATTTTTAATAATGTCTGTGTCTAGCAACTGGCTCACAAAATTTCACTCCAGCAAACCACTGTCCTAGCTTGACCTCTCCACACTGGGATCCCACACTCTCTACCACCTGCTAAATAATGCTACTCGGATCTCTTCCATAAGAAACCACAAACTTGACACACCGAAATCTAAACTCACTTTCCTCTTTGAATCTCCTTAGCCCACACTTCTCTTCCCCTCCTGACTTCCCTATTTCTATTAATGGTGCCTCCAAAAGCCATCCAATCAGTTGCTAAGTCTTAAAGGTTTTTCCAATGCATGTTCTTCTCATATGACCCCTCCTTTTTTATTCCAGTTAGGGTTACTGTCCAGACAGATTAATTGACCTCTTCCCCTTCACCTTCTCACTCTGATCTATCCGATGGTATTGTTAGGTTAATTTTCCAAATGTAGCTCTTCCATTACATATACAAACTCTCCCCCAGCCCCCCCACTCTCTCTCTCTCCCTCTCTCTCTCTCTCTCTCTCTCTCTCTCTCTCTCTCTCTCACACACACACACACACACACACACACCCCTGTCCTTCAAAGCTCTCCTTGCTCCAAGCAATGTAGACACCTCCTTGTTCTCCATGCTTGCAATATGCCTTATGGTTTCTGGTTGTGTGCTTTTGCTCACATTTTCCCCTTCCACTGGGATGTTCTTCCCTCATCATGAACTCTTACCTTATATTCAAGACTCCATTTAAATGGCTAGGAAAATATGCAGGTTGGTTGTCATAGGAATATATAAGTTTAAGAGAATCAGGAGGATGAAATCGTAAGAAATGCCAAACCCAGGAATTATTTATGTAGTCACTATCTCATATGGAGGCTCTAGGAAACATTGCACTTCCCCATGGTTATTACTAAAAGGTTTACTGTGAGCCAACATAAGGTTTATCTCAAACCTACAGATTTCAATTATTATACATGATCCAGCTATTTGTCATTCATTAACTGAAATGATCAAGAATTTTATTATTTTCACCATTTGGTGTTTACTGTAATTATTCCCCCCTGAATGCTCTGAAACAAATTACGTTGAGGGAGTGGGGAAAGGTGGGTGGTTAGAGACACAGAGACCCTAAAACCTGGTCTGTCACCATCATTGATAAAACTCATTCATCTTTGGGACACTGGTCACAGGTATTAAAGATCTACTACATGTGCAGGATTTTTCAGCAACCAGAAGCAAAAGAGCTGGAACATAGATCTTTTATACATTTTTCTTCTATCAACTCTTCCCCAATGTTTAGAGTAAAATAAAATGCTTTAAGTGCTTGCTTTCCTTAGGAGAATCATAATGATAATTAGCAAGTGATTCCTTTTCTTCCAAATATCAGATGTGAGACTGATGTTTAGTAGCAAAAGAAGAAGGAATACCTTTGCTAGGTATTCCTGTGGTCCACCCTGTGATCGCTTGGTACCAACTTTCTCAAGGACTTGAGTTAATTGGGGTCATTGAGAACCTGCATCCTTAAGAGGTGAAAGAGAATGAAGTAGGGGAAGGTGGTGAGATGACTGGCAAAGGTAACTATCATCCTGCCTTCACTCTAATGTGAAGACTGTCATTCAGTGGTCTGGACATCTCTTCCACCATAATCATTTGTGTATTTGTCTAAAATGCGGATTCCTGGGCCCTGCCTCAGACTTACTGAATCGTGGTCTCTAGGGGGACTACCTGGGACTGTGCATTTTTCATGGCAACACCCAGTGGTTCTGATACACACTGGAGATTGAGGATCACTGTTTTAGTGTTGGCCAACTATGGCTTGCAGGGTGGATACAGCCTTTGAGCTAAAAATGGCTTTTACATTTTTAAAAGGTTGGAGAGAGAGAGAGAGAGAATAATACTCAACATAGCTATCTTGCCCTTTACAGAAAGTTTGCTGACCCCTGCCTAGTGCATTGCAAATAAAAGCTTGTGTGTGAAGTTAGCTCTATCCTAGCCCTGCCACAGCTAGAATAATGGATACAACAGATACTTTTCTAAATTGAGAGTAATGAAAAGTATATAAATTCATCTAAAAATGTGTTTGTAATGTAAGTGGAGAAAGGAAATGTATATAATTACAGTAAACATTCTGCAATGTGTTTTTTTGTTTTTATTTATTTTTTTTAATCCTCACCCGAGGACATTTTTCGATATTTTGTTCAGATAGAGTGAGAGGGAGAGAGAGAGAGAGAGAGAAACATAGACATGAAAGCGACACATCGAGTGGTTGCCACTCACACGACCCAACCAGGGCCGGGAACAAACTGCAACCGAGGTACATGCCCTTAGCGGGAACCGAACCCGGGTCTCTCCGGACCGCAGGCCGACACTCTAACCACTGAGCCAAACCGGCCAGGGCCATTCTGCAATGTTTTTGAAAATATATTTTTATTTACACAAGAATGTATGGTAACTCCATTATACTCTATCCTTCCATATACGTATCAGGTGGCAATATATCCCAATTAGCCTAGTAAGAATCATTGCATGTATACTCTTTATTGAACTATGTTTGTCCCCAAATATATTTTTGTCACACATATGACGAAAAATGTGAACTGATATCCCAAAATGTCTGGGGAATGAAAGTATTATAAATTCTCAAAACAACACATAGGAAAATGATGCACAAAGGGAATAAAGGAATTTGGTATGTTTCTACTTAAAAGGAGTTTAAGAATCATAGAGCAGTTTTAACTCCTAAGAATCTTGGGAAAGAGGCTATGAACTCACTTTGGGAAGGGTTCAGATATTCTCATTGTGGCAAAGAGGCTCAGTGTTCCGGAATCTTGCCAGTGAGATTCACAAAGTAATCCCAAAGACAAAATACAATTCCTTTAGGGGTGGTTTCAGATGTTTGTTCTAGACACTTTTTAAATGTGTTTATTTATTTTTTTAAATTTCTGTTCTTTATTGATTTTTAGAGAGGAAGGGAGAGGGAGAGAAAGAGAGAAACATCAGGAGCCAGACCATTGATTGACAGCTTCCTGCATGCCCCCCACTGGGGATTTGGCCCACAACCTGGGTATGTGCCCTGACTGGGAATCGAACCAGCAACCTCTTGGTGCATGGGTCAACGCTCAACCACTGAGCCACACCGGCCAGGCAAATGTGTTTATTTTTGATGTGGAGAAACTTTATTATAGAAACCAGAAATAAATACTGGCTTTGAAAATATATACACTTACAAGTGACTTACTTGCCTTTGAGAATTGTGAACTGAAACATCTCACAAAAATTTTGTTTTAGTGTTGTTTACTCACGAAGAAAGGAATTTTAAAACTTTACTAGCAACTAACATTTTTTGATAAGAATTTAGACTATATTTCAATTTTTAAGAAACAAAGTTTAAAACACCAGATAAAGACTTGAAACCTAACATGCTTCACCATTTAATAAAATTATGACTCATTTCGGTAAGAAAATGCTTTTTTAGTAAGAAAAATGCTTTCTGAGCTAAGTTTGAACTGCCAGGGCACATAGGACACCCACAAACCCAGTCAGCAGAAGTCTCAAACTCCTATAAGATTAAAGGAAAAATAAATTAGTGTGTACAGAGAATGAAAAAAAAAAAAAAAATCCCCAATGGTACAAGTGTATAAACGGAAGTAAAACTAAAACTCCCCTAAAATCCCCCAATCATCAATCCTTATAAATTCAGCACTTATCTTCTCCCTTAAATTCTTCGGGAGCCCCGAGTTAAATGAACATGAAAGTCTTGGATGATTTTTATCTACTAAAGCAGTCTTCAAACTAAACTAAACTCGGATACCAACCTCCGTATCACAAATTGTTTAACTTTTAGAACCACGCATGCAAACGTGGGGTTTCCTGAGTTCTGCTAGGGATGGGCTGTTTGGAACCCGGTGGATTTTGCAGGTGTGTTATCCAGGCGCGCGACCCAAGAGCTGTGCAGGGGCAGAGATGTGTGGTGGGCGCTGTCAGGGCCGGGCAGCGTGGGTGGGGCCGGGCGTGCGCCCCGGTGAGAGTGAAAGGCACGTGACCGTTCGAAGGTGGCGTGTGGGCCAGGATCTAAGAGGGCAGTAAGAGCTCCGCCAGTGTCCCATACGTGAGCGGTGGTCTCTCCAGCTCCACTCGAAATTTCCGTCCCTTTTCACTGAGTTAAACTAGAGGTGTTTTTTTCTTTCTTTTTTTTAAAAAAGGACCTTAGCCAAACGTCCTATGAAAATATATGCTCCCATCCCCTACTACCCCATCCCCATTTCCCCATCTCCAGAGAGCTGAGTCTTAAACCCAGCTTAAAATGCGATCCCTAATGCGGGAGTCGCCCCCTCCCCAACCCTCCGCGCGCCCATTGCCACCCCCGCAACAGTGAGTCAGAGCCCAGCAAGCTCTGGTGCTGGTGCCTAGGAGCATGCCGAGTGGGAAGACGGTGGTGTGGCCGCCGAGCAGGAGGGAGGCGGCATAAGCGCGACGTGGCGCGGGCCCTCGCGGCCGCACCGGGGAGCGGGGTTTGCGCAGGAAAAGGCGCCGCTGCAGCCCCGGACCACCCCTCCCTGGCCCCGGGCTCCCCGCCCGCGCGCCGCCCGGGCCTCGCGGCGCGCCAGGCGCAACACGGCGGCGCGAGAGCCGAGGGAACCGCGGCCCAGCTAGCTCCGCAGCCCGGCGGGCTGCAGCCAAGACGACCGCGGAGGCGCGGAGGCGGCGAAGAGGGCGCGTGCGCACTGCAGGGGCGCCAGATTTGGCGGGAGGGGGGAGTGTCCAAAGCTCTTTGTTTGATGGCATCTCTGTTTACAGAGTTTACACTTTAATATCAACCTGTTTCCTCCTCCTCCTTCTCCTCCTCCTCCGAGACCTCCTCCTCCTCCTCCTCTTTCTCCTGAGAAACTTCGCCCCAGCAGTGCGGAACGCCGCTGCGCAGCCGGGGAAGGACGCAGGCAGGCGGCGGGCAGCGGGAGGCGGCAGCCCCTTGCGGTCCCCGCGGCTCCTGGCGGAGCCCCGCGCCCGCCGCGCCATGGCCCGGAGACCCCGGCACAGGTAACGGGGAGCCCGGGCGGGCGGCCGCAGGTGGGGGCGCGCGGGGCGCCGGGCTCCCGGAGAACAGGTGGGAATTCGATTCCGGATCTTGTGCTGGGCTGTCAGATCCTGCGAGGACCTAAGAGCCTCTGCCTCCGTAGCAGAAGCCGCTGGAGAGACTGATGAATGGAAGAGCCTAATGCAGGAAATATATCGGGATGTCGGGACGCGCGCCCTGCGGCTCATTTTGCAAGTTGCACGGGGATACATTTCTATCTAGGGGAGAAAGCAGCATGTTCCAGCCGGGGGCACAGGGGTGTCCACCAGCCCCTGGGAACCCACTAGGTCCCTGGCTTGATGCAGCGGGTGTCGGCGAGGGAGTCGCAGCGTAATTACTGGATGCATTACGATTTGTTTGGACTTGGAAATGCAGAGCATATGGCAGGTATAGGGAAAATGACGGATTGTTTAGTAGCTGCAGGTAGTTAATTTAAATTTCATTCATTCTTTATGGAGTCGAAGAAGAGCGGCAGCTGACAGGCGGCTGGAAAAACAGATTTTAGGGGAGGAAATGATTCTCTACGTTTGCAAAATTGTTTTAAACCCTGTTTTAATCATTATTTTCTGCGAGGTTATTATTTCTAATACAAACATTGCACATGCGCCCGCGCCGCACATGTCACCGCACTTGGGGTGGATGGGTGAAGTCCCCTTACATTTTGGCCGGACAGAGGGGCAACGGGAACAGAGAAGGGAGGAGACACTTGCCCGAACTGTCAGTTGCTGGCGCTATCCCTTCCACCCGTCTCTGGACTTCCCAGAATGGACGCGCCGGAGTTCCCTAAGAGCGGCTAGGTTTGGAGGCTAGTCGGTGACCGTCTCGGTTGCCACTCAGCGGAAAGGGACGGAGGCGGGCAGCACCCAAGGCCGCTGCCGCGCAACCGGGACGCAATCCCCGCGGGTTCTTTCCCTGGCTTAGAGGTCCAGGCGCGGCGCGCACACGTGGACGTAGCTGAGGTCGCGGCTCTTCCCTGCACCCTGTTCCCGCCGCCTTAGGTCGCCCGGGCGGAGGAGGGGTGACCAGACGGACCCTAGCGAAGAGGTTCTTGGAAAAAGTCTCTTGAAGCAAAGCAAACTCAACCTCTTTTTCTCCGGGTTGTTCGGTTTGCTTGTACTTGTTTTGGAACCGGCGATCGCAGTTCCCCGCGCAACACTGGGAAGTTGCAAAGAGCGTGGGTGTGGGCCCTGCAGCAGCACCCTCGGACCATGCCCGGCGGGGAGCAGTACAGAAGCATGGCTGGGCGCCGGAGAAAAAGAGAGGCGACTTGGGGGAGGGGGCTGGCTCCCTTCACCTCTCCCCGGGACCGGCCGAGCGGGATAGGGGTGCTGCTCCTTAAATGGTTTCACCTTCGCTTTTGGGACTTAACAGTAAAGTTCCGAGGTCATCTATTTTTTCTGAGAGCACAAACTGGAAGGAGCTGGACGAGAGCTGGGAAAGGGTGCTGGGAGGAGGCCCGCTGAAGGCTCCGCTCAGGGAACTCTTGATTGTCCCCGCGGGGCGGGGCCTCTCTCGTTCCCTGCGGCTCCCAGGTAGCGGAGGGGGGAGGCGGCCTGGTGGGGCGGGAGCCTTGAACCTGCCTCAGGGGGAAGAGAAACCCGGCTGCGGCTCGAAGCCGTTTCTTGCAGGGCCGGCGTCAACTCGGCTGGGATTATTAACCAGGTCAGCGAAATGAGTCTGAACCCCTTTTCTAGAATCACAGTAGCGGCCACAAGGCACTTCCTCCCGCTCCCCTCCCTCTTCCCAACCCCCAACACCTTTTTGCTTTTTCGTTTCTTTGCACGGTTTGTTTCCTTGACAGAATGTAATATTCATAGTTGTACTCTTGTAACCACACCAGGTCTAGCAGGTGGGGGAGTCGAGTACATCAAGCCTGAAATCAGCCTTTGAAAGTTCTCTGACTGTTGGGTCTGAGATCTTGTCAGAACAGATAAAGGAAAAGTTATTTCAGGCCCTTAGTAGAAATTAATCATGCTGCTTAGGCGACCGGGACAATTTAGAGCAAGGAAATCGCATGCAAATCTCACAGGCGAGACCCCGTGCCCAGCCTGCTGGTGGACCCAGGAGCCGTGCGGGCAGCCCTTGGCTCGCTCTGGTCCGCACACGTCTTCCTCGGGACCTGCAGAAGGCACCACGTTTCCCCCAAGACTTTGCTTTAGCACATCTCTGCTTCTGTGCTTAATTTTTAAGAGGCACGGAAGACGCGGGACTATTATTTGCTAGCACTGGAAAGTACCTTAGAAATAGAATCCAAGCCCTTTCTGCATACGCGAGGAACTGAGGTCCTGAGAGAGAGGAAGTGATTTGTCCCAGTCACGCAGCTAGGTGGAGGCAAAACTGGGACTGGCACCTTTGCCTCCAGAACTCTAGTCCTGTTTGATGCCTGTTCTCCCTCAACTGATGTTGGCTGCCCCCTATGGGCGGCTGAGTATGTTGCTTGTTCTTGGATGTTGAGCTGTTTCCAAGAGAGAAGTTCTGAAAATGTAATCTCCAGATCCCGCCAAACCTGAAAAGCTAAATTGAGTTGAAACTATGGCTCCGCTTTCAGATTACTCTGATTTTCTTGGTATCCCGGATATTTCACAAGGATGCCATTTTATTTGGGGGATTTCTGAGGAGTTCCCTGTGAACCTTTCAAAAGATGCTGACCTACAGCTCTAGGCTTCTAATAAATAATGTTTTCATTTATGATGCTTGTGGAGTTTGTTTGTTTTTAAAGGGAAATTGTTGTAATTATTGATCAGAAGTTACAGCCCTCTTGTTGACACTGCAGAATACTATTAAGCTCATGCCTGAAGGGATGGACATTAAATGAAAGAAATGGCTATATATTATGAATACAGTTTAATGGCTGTGTGTGTGTGTGTGTGTGTGTGTGAGTGATGGCATTTTATGTGTGGATCACATCCTACTTGTCACTCCACATCCTGGACCTTCAGATTGTTGCCCAAAATAATAGTTTTAAATTATAAGAACCTCAAATTCAGGATTTTTGGTAAGCAATTTTGCTTGCTTTATAAAGGGTGGGTAATTATGCTTCTAAGTTAATTTGGAAAGACAAACCTGATAGTCATATAAACTTCCTTTTTAAAAAGAATAAGTTTCATTTTGATATTGCTTTATATCATTATTTTATTGATCTCAGTTTCATGGATTTCTCAATATTACAATGATAAATTTTATTGACATTTTAAGATAGTATAATTTTTATTCATATCTTAATTTGATAAGTAAAATTAAGTAAAAGTAAACTGTGACTGTAAAATTACTCTCGTCTAATCAGTATATGATTAATAAACATTAAGTATAGAGTAACTCCAAACGTTATTAAAATGCATAGTTTGGGCCAACTAGGTAAGAGAAAAGGCTCCTTTGAAAACAGTAATGGGTTTTTTTTAAACGCACCTGGGGGAATCCCTCAGTTTTGAATTAAGTACATTTGAAGATATTTCAAACGCCATTCAGTAAGAGGTAAAAACAAAACAAAACAGTAAGATTCTGAGTATCAAGTGGCCTAATTATTCACTTAGTTACTCTGGAAACTGAATATTGTAAACATGGCCACATGTTGGACCAACCTGGCCTGGAGTTTTGAACTGTTTAATATTAATGTTATTTACAAAGCAAATCACTTGATTATATTATCCTTCCTCAGGTTTTTAAATCTTTTCCTCTTAGATTCCCTTAATCTTCTAATCTTTAAGAGATGATTATAATTATATTGTTGGGTATATTACTTCCTGAAATATTTTATCTTAATAAAACACTAGTCCCATTGGAACAACATAATTGAGTTGTTTATTGTAGTGGGGAACTATTATTTAAATATTGTGACATATGCCAAAGATCTTGAGTGTATACTTATATAAAGGACTTGGACTCTCATTCCATTTGTTGTCCTTAACATTAAGTTTTAAACTTAAACCTTCATTGGTTGGAAGGTTGCCAAATGTGTAACTTGTCACTGGTCTAACATTAACAGCAGGTTTAAACATGCAGAGCAATAAGAAAGTGCCAGGTCCTTTGCTGTATCTGTGGAGACCAGTAACAGCAGAACCAGTTTACACTACTAGAGCAACAGAATGCAGAAAACAATCTTGTTCAAGTTTTCAAAGTTCTATTTTCATAACCTTTGAAAAGATTGTTGAGAAGTTTTTGTGTAATTTTTATAATGCCATAGCTTAAATTTTCTTGTTTCAGTCCACGTCTGCCCATTTTTTATTTCTGCAGCATATACAGTAGTGACGAGGATGATGAAGACATTGAGATGTGTGACCATGACTATGATGGGCTGCTTCCCAAGTCTGGAAAGCGTCACTTGGGGAAAACTAGGTGGACCAGGGAAGAGGTAACTAATCATGTTATTAAAACATGGGGAAAAACCTAGAATGCGTCAATGTATGGAAAACAAAATTTCAGCTAAACTACAGGTGCTCAAACTCATTATCAGGCTTTTGAAGTCGTATACTAGCTTGCCTGTGCAGCATGCTTATACTTCCCTCTCACTACCCCCCCCCCCAGATGTACACTATGCCATCAACTTCCAACCTTTTTGTGGTTCATTGAATGTCCTCTTCTTCTCACTTAATGTTTCCTGCTTCATCTGTGTTTCCCCCTGCCTATTCTGTTCTTATCCTTTTGCCCCACAACTTCTTACTACTTCTTCATTACCTGTGAAGATATTGCCTCTTCTGTGAAATCATCCCTTGCTTCCTAAACAGGTTAGATGCATTCTCCAGTCATTAGATACATGTTCTTACTTTTTGTCGCTATAACACACATGCCTTTTTCAGTAGGCTACAAGTCTACTGAGGGCAGGGCTACATGTCTGGAATATTAACAAATGTTCCCTGAACAAATGGATGAATTGCAATTTCCAAAAACAAAACAATAGAATAAAACAAAACACTCACAGAACTTGTCTTGTTTTAATGGACTCATTTTACATTCTTGATATAGAATATTTCACAGAGCCCTATACATGGAAGTATGTTCTTAAAGCAGCCAAGGAGATATATCTGCTTCTTACCTTTTTCAGATAGCTTATCAAAAGTTTGATCTTTGTAGGGATAAAAAATATTTAAGGAAAGAAATTATTAATGTATGGGGAAAGTTGCTTTTTCTTTAAAGTTTCAAATATTTTGGAACTGATTTTTAAAGATTTTTATGTTAGAATTAATGGAATTGACTCTTCTTCAGTTTCATTTCACCCTACTTCACTTAAACCAGAGCTCCTCTTGATAGATAGGTAGGATTTCCAGTGAGGTCCACAGGAAATGCATATGTTACCTGTGGAGATTTTGACTTAGGTGATCCTTAACAGATATAGAGATATAGAAGATCTGGTTTCCTCAGTCCTATGTCTGTATTATGCCAGGAATCCAAGTTGTATGTGAAGTTACCTTTGGAAAAATGTGAGCCTTCTCTTTCACTCGATAGAACGAGTTTAGAAAGAGTGAACTGAAAGATTTTCCCTTGATGTTTTGTGTCTTCTCCGTTCTAATAAGTATGTTCTATTAAGTTCTGTGTTCTAATAAGTTTAAATTATATATATCTTGATACAAAAATGAAATGATTTTCTTATACATGCCTTCAAGTTTATTAAGAAAAGTGATCTTCCATATTTCATATGAAAGAGGTTAAACTATCTAAATGTTAGAATAGTGGTTGAACTATTTCTTATTTGAGATCCTATCTATTGCCATTGTTAAATGCCTTGATTCTAACATTGGAGTTCTTTAGTTTCTTTCCCCACAGAGTAAAACTTTAACAGTTACCATGTTTTAAACATTCAGCGAGCCAGGAATTATGCTAAATGTTTTGCAGAGTTACTTCATGTTACCCCCAAATAACGCTGTTGACATCAGCATTCCCATTGTATACTAAGGCCCAAAAAAGCAAAATGATATACCCAAGCTTATACTACTAATTAGTAACTGAGTCAAGATATGGTCTCTGGTCTGTCTGACTCTAAATAAATCTATGCTCTAAACCAGTATATTACATTAATTATCTGTTGTATGTGGATATTTTTGAGCAATTAGATGACTGAATTGATTCCCCTTTACTCTAACTTGAATAGAGTTGTACAGTAAATGACTGATATCCTCAGATACTTTAAATATCTTAGGATGAAAAACTAAAGAAGTTGGTGGAACAGAATGGAACAGATGACTGGAAAGTTATTGCCAATTATCTCCCGGTAAGTTAGTAATTTTTTCTTCCTGTAAAAGGAAATCTCCCAGATTTAAAAGAGTATATTAAGACATTACATATTTGCTACACGTAAGAAGTAGGGGGAGAAATCCCTCATCCGTAACTTGTAGTGTATATTGTAATACATATAATTGGGGTTTCTAAATATATTACTAAAGGATTTTACAACATTTAAAAAGGTTTGCTTTTTGTTTTGTCTTGTCATTTGTTAGGATAAATTAGAGCTTTAGTGGTTTGTTATATGGTAGATGACTAACCTTGTGATATCCCCCCCTCCCCCATCAGCTTCTTTTAAATTACCCATTTTTTAAAATAGCCATGTTTGCCCTGGCCAGTTTGGTTCAGCGGTTAGAGCCTGCGGTCCAGAGACACCCAGGTTCGGTTCCCACTAAGGGCACGTACCTCGGTTGCACTTTGTCCCCGGCCCTGGTTGGTCGTGCGGGTGGCAGCCACTCGATGTGTCCCTTTCACGTCGATGTTTCTCTCTCTCTTTCTTCCTCTCCCCCTCCCACTCTTTCTGAACAAAAAAAAAAGGAAAAATGTCCTCGGGTGAGGATTAAAAAATCAATTAAAATAATAATAATAATAATGATAATAATAAATAAATAAAATAGCCATGCTTTTGGTACCCCAGTTTAAAAAATGGAGTGCTTCTAGACTTATTTCACTCCCCATCCCCTACACCTAAGCCTGACTAAGAGTTCTGGAATTCCTTTGTCATACTTGCCTTCTTTTTATTCCCCTCCATCTTCCACAGGTCCGGTCTCCTTCCTCTTCTCTGGATCATCACAATGGCTTTCTAACTGGCTTCTCTACTTGTAGCTTTCTATTTTCTTATCCATTGGCAAGGGGAGCTTCCTAAAATGCAGCTTCCCCTTATCTTTGCAAAACCAACAACAGTGACTTAGTCTCACAAATTAAGTCTACTGCCTGGCCCTGGAGCACAGGGTCCTCCCATATGGCCCCAACATACAGCTCCCGTTCTATTTCTGACTTCTTCTCTATAAACGGATGTAGTTGACTTCATTTCTGCTTTCCCTCCTCTGGGCTTCTGTCTCTAGTGGTGCCACCTCCTAGAATGTTCTGCATAGTTCATAGTCCTTCAAAGTCCATATCAAGAGCTTTCCCAGATCCCTCCTATGGAAACATCATTTCTCCTCCTAAGGAGGTGTTCCTTTTCCCACCCCAATATAATTTTGCTTTGATTTATTCTTGCATATGAATCAAATTCTGCCTTCTATTCATTATGTATTTGTTTTTTCCTTCTTATAAGATTAAAAGCTCTTATAAGGCAGGGCCTGTCTTTATTCATCTTCGTTCTGAAATATTAACACGGGTGACCCTAAATTGAAACACATCTCTTAGTTTGCGTGGGAGTCATTAGCGTGGGTTTCCATAAAAGCTTGACCTTAATATGGAATCTCTAACAAGGCTTAGTCTTAGTCCTAGTTACCTTCACATGCAACAGACGGAGGTTAAGTTAAATTCACAGCCATATGTGCAATATGATGGCCCTTTTGTCCACCTGGCAAGACTGTTGCCCTCAGGAGGAAGAACTTCTAATTTCAGATGCAACTTTGATATAATCTTTGTATGTTCTTTAGTTGTAAGTAATGAGGGATAGGTGGGCTCTCCAAACATGCCATAGAATGTTCTTGAACATTTTCACTGTATGTTATCTATGTATGATTCATATTATAACAAAGTCTTCCTGTGCACTTATCACATCACAGCTACATGACAGTGCCTACTTTATCTTCTTTGTCTAGAATCGAACAGATGTGCAATGCCAGCACCGATGGCAGAAAGTACTAAACCCTGAGCTCATCAAGGGTCCCTGGACCAAAGAAGAAGATCAGAGAGTAAGTTTCTTCTTCATTGGCATGTGAATCATAATGAAGAATATCCCCCAAACGTCTTTGTTGAATGTTTCCTGACTTGAAGAAACAGGTAAAGTGTGCAAACAGGAAGCAGAGGAGTCTATTCCCCTATTTTCAATGAATGAAAGCAAATTTTTAGAAATTTTCTAAAGATCTTGTAACAGAATGATTACATTGACTCATTACATAACTTTAAAACCTAGGTTATTTTTGTGTGTTTATCTGAAGGTGATAGAGCTTGTACAGAAATACGGTCCGAAACGTTGGTCTGTTATTGCCAAGCACTTAAAGGGGAGAATTGGAAAACAATGTAGGGAGAGGTGGCATAACCACTTGAATCCAGAAGTTAAGAAAACCTCCTGGACAGAAGAGGAAGACAGAATTATTTACCAGGCACACAAGAGACTGGGGAACAGATGGGCAGAAATCGCAAAGCTACTGCCTGGACGGTAATAATATGTCAAAAAATATATTGATTGGGAAGAATGAGGGAGTGGGTACGGAACAGTCTGTTTGAAATGTGTGGTGAGTGAACTACATTCCATCAAGTGTAAATGTTCCATTAGTTAAACCAGATCCATATCTTTTCAAACGCGAGGAGATCTTAGTTTATCCGGTTGAGTCCTTGCAGCCCCACCCAACAGTGAGCCTGGGGCCAAGTCACTGAACTTCCCTTAGTCTCAGTTTCCCCATTTTTAAAATGAGTAATAACCTACTTCATAGGGCCAGTGATAGTGTCAAGTAAAATCAGTGTCAAAGCACATTGTAAACTGCAAAACTCGAAACAAACAGAAGGAAACTGAGATAGACAGTTTGTCTCTGTCTGAGTCCATATTGCTGGTTAAGTGACCAGAAGGACCTCAGCTACCATTTTTCTGATACCAGCATTTTGTTATACCACTTGGCTTCAGTTTTTTGTTTTTTTTTCTTTTAAAGAAAGAAATAGTATATTTATAGATCATCATACTGCTTCCAAGTTTTTAAATAATGTCAGTGTTATGCTTTCTTTCAATGAACAAGACAGAAAAATGACCTCGTTATGAGGGATATGTGTGGAATGATGGAAGCTCATTTCTATCACTTTCCCTATTTAAACAGTTATGAGGGGTTTTGTTTTTGTTTTTGTTTTTTGTAAAGCTGACATAAAAATACATAAGACAAAATGTTTTAAATATTTTTTCTTGAGTTTTTTTTTTATCCTCACCCGAGGACATCTTTTTCCACTTTTTGTTCAGATAGAGTGGGAGTGAGAGAGAGGAAGAGAGAGAGAAACATCGACGTGAAAGGGACACATCGAGTGGCTGCCACCCGCACGACCAACCAGGGCCGGGGACAAACTGTAACCGAGGGACATGCCCTTAGCGGAAACCGAACCCGGGTCTCCCTAGACCGCGGGCCGATGCTCCAACCGCTGAGCCAAACCAGCCAGGGCGAGCTTTATAATGCAAAAGTGGAGGAAAGGTCATTTCAAAGAAGGCCATGGCTCTGATGGTTTATCTAGTGTTCCCTTGTGATGTCCCAAAGCATTTCCTCCCTGGTGATTCAGTGTAAGCTGTGAGAACTCAGGAGGTTGATAAAAGGATGCCTTTTCTCCCATATGGTCTCAGAGGATATGCTGTTGATTCTTCTAAAAATTTAAGGGGTGATTGAACTTCCTCTTTCTTCAGCATACCTTCCCCACCCCCATCGAAAAAATAAAAAGGAGGCATAAAACGGTTTTTGTTTTGCTTTTTGAACTGAGAAACTGTTTTCCTGAGAATTGAAAGACTTTGTTAAAAATGCTTTGCAGTTAGAAAATATATCGGGAGTGAGCATCTTCCCTTCTGGATCCCATTTCCATTCTCACCTCTGTCTGCCTCACAGAACAATTTGAAGTGGTTTTTTAAAAGGTGGGCATGTTTTCCACTCAAAATCGCTCGGTAGTGCTATTGAAGATAAAGAGAGGACAGTGAGGTGACAGCAGCATCCTTGTCATTCACCCACTTTCACTGTGATGTAAGGGTGGACCCCGCTCAGCGGAAATCAAAGGAGAAGGTTCTAGGACAGCTGGAACTTGACGTTTCATCAGCGTCGTGTACCAGTCAGAATAAACACGAGGGGTCGTTGTATGGAAAATACTCTTATCAAGGAAACAAAAAGGTTGAAGGATTTCAATATTTACAGAAAACTACAACTCCATATTTTGTAAGAGACATGTATGGATTTTAAATCAGGTCATAGGGGAAGCATGGTTTTTAGGAGGTAGAAAAGACTGAAATGATTAAAAGGAAAAGACACTGTGAGTGGACCAAAAGCAAAGGTCTCTGTTAGAAACAGTTTTCTGTCAATTACCTAGACTCTAAATTGAAATGTTTGTTTGTGGAACCGTGATATATTTCTGTGCAGAACTGATAATGCAATCAAGAACCACTGGAATTCTACAATGCGTCGGAAGGTCGAACAGGAAGGTTATCTCCAGGAGGCTTCCAAAGCCAGCCAGCCAACTGTGGCCACAAGTTTCCAGAAGAACAGTCATTTGATGGGTTTTGCTCATACTCCACCTTCCGCTCAACTCCCTCCAACTGGTCAGCCCTCAGTGAACAACGACTATTCCTATTACCACATTTCTGAAGCACAAAATGTAAGCCACTCCTGAAAATTTTGTTTAACAAGAGAAGTGGTTATTTTAGCTCCAGGTGATGATAATACCCTGCAGTTGCGTACTTTTCAGAGAGCTTTCATAAACAGGATCATGGGGTAGGTGTTGTTCTTTCTGCTGTGTTTCCAGAAACGAGGGCGTTCAATGATTGTCCAGGTTGCACAACTCAGGGACAGTGCAGACTGGAATCCAAGTTCCGATGCTGCTTCTGATCTAATTGGGAGTTAATGTTTGAATGTAAACTTACTTAACAAGTCCTGCTGAAGAAGAATCAGGGAATGGGGATGCAGCTGTTGTCAAATATTTGTCTCTCCCCAAATGACAGTGAATGTAATATTATATTTAAAGAGGAGATAATTCGATGCTGAAATTCAACAGACAATTGTAAGTTCCATTCTGGTAGTGATCCAGCAGAAATGTCTTAATTTATTCATTCTGTGTTTACCATCTTACTCCAACTCAGGGGCAGGTTTTTTGTTTTGTTTTAATTTTTATTTATTCATTTTAGAGAGAGAGAGGAAGGGGGAGAAAGAGAGAGAGAGAGCGAGAGAGAGAAAACATCAATTTGTTGTTCCACTCATTTATGCGGTCATTGGTTGATTCTTGTATGTGCCCTGACTGGGGATTGAACCCAAAATTTTGGTGTATGGGGACGATGCTCTAACCAACTGAGCTACCTGGCCAGGGCTCAGGAGCAGTTTTGTGACATTGTTCTCTGGTGTCTCCTTTTATCCTCCTTGGATCAATACAATTCCTTTTTCACTTCCCAATATTTATTTATACTTAGGAAAAGAAATAGTCTTAGTGGGTAGAAAGAGAAGAATAAAGAGAAAAAAAAATCAAGAAACTTTAATCTTTATATTAGCAATAAGAAACAGTGAAATTTACCTAAGAATACAGAGCTCATATGCAAATTCTATGCAAAACATATTTGTAAGGCGTTTTGACATGTGTTTGACTACAGACTTTCCAGAAAAGTCTCAGGTGAATGAACTAGCATAAGAGGTTCTGTCATGTTTACTAAAACTCATATTATTCCCAGAAAAATATTTTTATTTATAAACAGCTAGTGCCATCACTTTTTCCCACCAAAACACCTTTCATGCCTTTATGGATATATTTGAGATTTATTTTTTATTGTGTTTTTCTCTAATTAAGGAAGACTTTCTGCCAGGATCGGTGAGCACTTCAAATTTCTTTCACTATGTTGCTTTAGCTATTTAGCCATTATTAAAGGCCTGGCTACAATTTCAAACGAGAGGGTTTTTTTTGTGTGTGTGCACGTGTGTGTGTTTTTTATGTTTAGTGAATTTGATCAGTGAAGTACTTTTTTTTTCTCAGTCCTGCAGCAAATCCTCAGGAAGCCAGGTGCCTTAACGCATACGTAACTGTGAATGACTCGCCCTTCGTTTTTGCCTTTTTGCCTAGGTCTCCAGTCACGTCCCGTATCCCGTCGCGTTGCATGTCAACATAGTCAATGTTCCGCAGCCGGCCGCTGCAGCCATCCAGGTAGGGGCATTTTAAGGTCATTTCATAAAGAAACGTTTTTGCTGTTTAAGGTACCGTTTTGAGACATGCTTTATTTCTTTCTTCTAAACACTTACTGTCACCTGACCATCTGAAGTTAAAAGAGAAGGGACGAGTGGAGAGGTGGGGGGAGCTCCAGCCAGCCATCTGCCCATCTTCACTTCTAGAGTGAGTTTGCTCAGGAATCCCCGGATTCTCTGATGTTCTGAACAACCGCTCAGTCAGCATCCACCTTAGCCTCAGACTTCACATCACTCCCCTACATCTAGAATAGCGTTCACAGAGATTCAGCGGTGGCCCGGTCCCATTGCCACGGTTGCACGGCTCTCTGGGCCGCGTGTCCCCTCGTGACTGCATGCCACGGCCGTTGCGTTTACAGCCTCCAATCGGGCCCTTGTCTTTTTTTCTCCCCTAACTTTCAATTTCAGAGACACTATAATGATGAAGACCCTGAGAAAGAAAAACGAATAAAGGAATTAGAGTTGCTCCTAATGTCAACTGAGAACGAGCTCAAAGGACAGCAGGCGCTACCAGTAAGATTGTCACCGTGGGCGGGCCTGGGGGGAGAGGGCTTTACTCCAGGGCTCTCTGTTTCTTTTCCCTTCTCTCCTGAATATTACGTAATCCAGACTATATCCCCATTAACCACATTTAAACACGAGAAGTTGTGTGTAATAAAACACGGTTCGTATAAGAATGTTGACTAAGTTGGAAGTAGTCTTTTTGTGTTGCAGTGGAAACTCAATATCTATTAGTGATTGTATCATTGATTTTTTTTTTCTTTAGAAGGACAGGAATCAATTTGAAGACTATCAGAGATAAAATGAATAAAAATAGGCATTTTTTTTACATGCTTTGTATCTGTATGATGCCTATTTATTTTACTTTTCTTCATTATTTTTGTAACCTAGATTTTCATACTTTATGATTTCAAATGTGATCTGATGCATGTCTAGTATATACATGTGAAAAAGGTACATATATTCTCTCCATGAATAACATTAGCTGCTGTTTTGTTTGCGTGCATGAATGCTGTGTGGACCATACTGAATGCTGACGTCTTTTTTAGTGATTGGGCAGCCAACTGAGAAAGCAGTTTGTACTTTGTAATATATGTAGTTAACCAGCCAAGAGAATAAAAGAGATGTGATACAGAGTAGGTATTCTTAGAAGTAAAATGGGGTTTTTATTGGTTAAATAATAAAATGATTATGTTCTTATGTTAGTTCGACCACTTTTTAACTCTAATGTTTTGCAATTTCTCCTGTTGCATGGTCATGCTGAAAGGAGACTTCTGTTAATTTGCTCTTCTGCTTTCCTAACCACGTAGATTTGGCAGCCCTTCCCTGCATTAGGGCAGACCTTAGCACAGAAAGGGATAGAAGCAACAAGAATATATAAGAGCGACTCTAGCTCTTGCATTCTCTAGCCTTTATGTAGGTTAGAAAGAGAGTAAGAGAATTCTTAATTCACAGTAAACATTTATGGTCTTATTGGAAATTATATTAAAGTTGATTTTTAACTCCATATAAGAGTTGTGCTTTGTAACATAGTCCCCCTGTTTGCATTATTAACAAAAGGATGATAATTAAAGTCACCGTGTAAATGACAGATTATACCACCATTAAAAAGCAGGGTCTTGCATTGATAAAAGGAAACATCTTGACAACTGTTTCATAGACGCAAGTTCTGGATGATGCAACTACTTTTATCTTTCCTCCAACAGCATCTGATACCTTGTGCAACTTCATTGCTAAGTTCCTTCTCCCTTTCTTCTCCCCGCTCTTTCTTTATTCCCCTGCCCCCCTCCTTAGACACAGAACCACACATGCAGCTACCCCGGGTGGCACAGCACCACCATTGCCGACCACACCAGACCTCATGGAGACAGTGCACCTGTTTCCTGTTTGGAAGAGCACCACTCCACTCCATCTCTGCCTGTGGATCCTGGCTCCTTACCTGAAGAAAGCGCCTCTCCTGCAAGGTGCATGATCGTCCACCAGGGAGCCATTCTGGATAATGTTAAGAACCTCTTAGAATTTGCAGAAACACTTCAATTTATAGATTCTGTAAGTAGAATTGTTCAGGCATGTTAATGTTTTTAAAAAGGGAATGAGGAAACCCATTTCTCAAATCATTGCCATTTTCTATAGCAACTAGCATGTAATTAGCATATTTAATGTAAGGTAAAAGTATGATTTTAGTCTTTGTGTGTATGTTTTTTCAAAGATCTGATTTCATAGGCTACGCAGATAAAAGGTAGCTTTTCACACATTTCTTTCAAAATGCATATTTTTTAAAGTAGTGAAGTTAATGACCCATAAATAGAGCTTGGGTTATGGAAATGATGTTTGAGTTATTTTTTATCTTTAATTTGTTGACTTCTTGTGTTTCTCTAGAATTGTGCTTTGCACATTAAGAATTATGTTTGCTCAGAGCTTAGGGCAATCTTTCAGTATATTTGAAGTGGTAATAATTTTATTGGCAGTATGTGGCTTTCTCCATAAAACGTTGATTATTGATTACTAGCCCAAGTGGTTCGCCAAGACAAACCACCTTTAGTGAAACAGCCTTGAGTTCAGCCCCTCAAAGGCAGACATTCAATTAATTTTCTTTGTTTCCCAGTTGGTTAAAAAGCCTTTATTGCCTACCTATCAGATGGGGTGAACAATGCCCCTATCAGATGGGGTGAACAATGCCGAAAGGGCTATTTGCTTTGGGTTGCATGCAAATGCTAAAGTACCCGGAGGTCCCTGCATCGCTCATGTAGGACCGGCCTTGAAGCAGCTTGGCAGACCTGCCATGCAGGGTATCAGAACGATTGTTAATCCCGAAGGCATTGCTCAAGAAGTCAGACAAGGGGTCCAGGCAGGTTTTTCTTTGCACTCAGCATCTCTCTCTCAGTGCTTTCAGGTGACGGCACACCATGCACACACTGTCTGAGTTCTGCGCCTCCCACATTGTTTCAGGAGTCTTCACCATGGTGTGACCTCAGCAGTTTTGAACTCTTTGAAGAAGCAGAATTTTCACCTAGCCAACAGCACACAGGCAAAGCCCTACAGCTCCAGCAAAGAGAGGGCAGTGTGACTAGACCTGCAAGAGAGCCTAGCAAATGCAAGTTGAGCGAGGGTTCAAGCCCGCTCAAGCCCGTACCTCCTTCGAGGCACAGCATAATTCCTCTGGTCATCCTTCGAACGAAGCGGCGCCAGGCCAGCCCCTTAGCCGCTGGAGACTCTAGGTCCTTCATATTTGCTGACGTCAGCAGTTCAACTCCCAATCGGTCCCCTGTCAAAAACCTGTCCTTCTCCCCCTCACAGGTAGAGCACAGTTTCTGCACAGCTGTTACTAATTTTCAACAGAAAATTGAGCCTTAATAATCTAGAAACTAATCCTTTGGAACAAATGACTAATTACTGTTGCCCTTACTGATTTCATTCCATCATTGAATCTAGTTGTTGCTAAGTCACAATGCCTCCCAAAGTTCAGGCTGTCTGTAGCCTGGCTGATGATTTTGTCATAATTCTCTCTTTTGGGATATTTGAAGATGGTTAGTTGCATGAGATGTGCTTTTATTTCCTTCAACACTAGAGTTTAACATTTCTATCCCTTTCTCTTCTCCTCTCCCTTTAAAAACTTTAACAAATTGTCTGCCTCTTTGTTTACTTATGATGTGATTCACTGACCCAGGGGAGGAAGAAGCAAACTATGCTTGAATTGCAACTACAAATTTTAAAGGTTCCACTCCATCTTTAAGTGGAAAAGTTTGGGAAGAGGATAAGGAGCAAATACTTAAAAAAAAAAAAACAATTTATGTTTAAATTTCAATTTCTCAACATTGGCTCTTTTGAGTTGTGCTATAATATTTTATTAGCTCAGTTTTATTTATTTATTTATTTATTTGCCAGTGAATATTCTTGTTTCATATAGTGTTTTTTAAAGACATGGAAATTATAGTTTTTATCAGAAACTTATGTTTCTTGATTATTAAAATAATTGCAGTTAGTAGGTAATTTGGCACTTTCAAACATTTTTCCAATTATGTCTGCTGAGTTTGTGTTAAGAACAGCTTTAAGTACGAACAAATGTGATGCACTCACCAAAACAGTTATCTTGCTTTTTGCTTGTATTTTCCAAATTGGATTCTGGACCATATTCATTCTGCAAGATTTTAATAGATGTTCCAGAAAAACATCTATGTATATATGTATATAAGTTTGGGAAACGCTGACACACTAAGTTAAAAATAGGTTTCTTTACTGCAGCACCTGTCAGAGTTTTTTTAATACACTGATGTGCATTGTGAATTTTTGGGAGGAGATTCCGATATGTTTCCCAAACTTAGTTCACCTTGGACCTCTTTGAGGAATACCTGTTATTTTCCTAGAACATCGATGTTCCAAGAGAGACAACTTACTATTGAAAAATTTTTCACCTAATGTAAACCTTCTATAATAATGGCTCATAGATCATTAAAGAGAGAAAAGAGTATAAAAGGGAAATAATCGTTACTTGCCCCAAAGTCACTGTAACACTTTTAATCTTCATGAAGAGTGCATCTCATTTCTTTAATGGCAAGTGTCATTTATCGAGAATATTTTCTTAACATTTTGCAAGTTTTCCTGGCATTGACCCTAGATTTTGTTTCTTGGAAACCACATTCCAACTCTTGGTGCTCAGTTAAAATAAAACAATACCCTAACACTACATGTTGTTAGCATCTTTATTATTTTATATAGTGGGTCAGTAAAACATACTTGTTTGTTATCACAGTGTGGTTTTAACATTTGGTTGAATAAAGAATGACTGTTTAATCTAAGTAATTTTCCCCCTCTATTTAGTTCTTAAACACTTCCGGTAATCATGAAAACTTAGACCTGGAAATGCCGTCTTTAACTTCCACCCCTCTCGGTGGTCACAAATTGACTGTTACACCACTTCATAGAGACCAGACTGTGAAAGCTCAAAAGGAAAATACTATGTAAGTCCTTGGTTCAAGAATAAAATTATTTATCTTATTTACTTGTAATATCTGATAGAATATTGCCCCCAAATGCGTGATTCATTTGTATGTATATAATCGTGTATACTCCGCCCTGAATATGTCTGTCCCGGGCCTGTTACAACTAACAAGTGAAAGGCGGGAGGATAAACTAAATTAACCTTTGTAGTTCACCTTGCATTTTCCCACCTATGTAGACCCCTACATACAAAGTTTTCATACAACTTTTTTACTTAGTTCTCCTGTTTGTTCAATAGGGCCTTTTCTTCTTCACCGAAAATAAGATTTTCAACCTCCGTTTCTCTTTGTTGATAAACTTCAGAATGAGTATGGTTCTTTACAGTTCATATCTTTTTTAATCTTATTTTTTTCTTTTGGAATTTATCTGTAGATAGGTCCTCTTCAGACACCCCCAGTAATATCATATGATTAGAAGCCTAGGAGTGATTAAGCAGTCATTTATATACAATAAAGTCTTAACCAATTCAAAGAAATGGCAGAGAACATCAAATGATAGACCTTTAATCTTATTGTCTCCAAGTAAAATAAGTACAGTTTAAAGGATTCTTATGTTTTCTATTGTGGGCCCTGTTTTAATGAGTAGGTGAAATTGATTTGTAAATGACATCAGATCTTTACAATGTTTATGGGCATTAGAGAGAGACCCAGGGACAATACTTGTGTTTTCAGAATGATTGAAAAAGATCAAACATATTTTAATGCTCCTAGTCTTATGGGGTGTAATAGTTTGAAATATTTGAAAATATGTAATGTGTATAATATCTTTTGCTTAACAACATATGAATGAGTAAACAGCATACCCAATTCCATATCAATAACAGAGTCTATTTTATTCAGAAGAAAAATATTAACTGTAATAGGGAGAGCGGTGTAAGGGACATACATTCTTGGGTATTGAACCAACACTTGTTTTCTTTTTAAAGTTTCAGAACACCAGCTATCAAAAGGTCAATCCTAGAAAGCTCTCCGAGAACCCCCACACCATTTAAACACGCACTTGCAGCTCAAGAAATGAAATACGGTCCCCTGAAGATGCTAGTAAGTGTTTGCAAAGTTATTGAGTCTAGTTGGTTCATTAGTTCAGACAGAAATGTTCCTCTGATGCAGACGTGCTCTCTCTTCCCTTCAGCCTCAGACACCATCTCATCTAGTAGAAGACCTACAGGATGTGATCAAACAGGAATCTGATGAATCTGCAATTGTTACTGAGTTTCAAGAAAATGGACCACCTTTACTGAAGAAGATCAAACAAGAGGTAGATCCCAGATCCTCTGAAAGCAGCAGGCTGTGAATCCTGTTCCCTTTGCTCCTGTGGGCAGCTTGATGTGTCTGGCAGCAGCACTGTGTAATGACACCACTTTTCCTACATGATTTTTGTACAAGGTGCAGTTCGGAGCTGCTGCCAGGCTGCAGGCATGTGGCCTTTCCTAGCGGAAGCCAAGCAACTTCTAGCACTTCATGTTTGAGCAGAAAACATGCTGGAGAGGGTACAGGAAAGAGGAGGAAGTGGCTTTTTACTTACTTTCATCACTGCTCCAGAGATGGACAGACGATTGACACATAGATATTTAACTTTCAGATGCCACGGAGAATTAAAATGAAAATAATAGTGTCTTTAATTCATAGAATAAAAGAAAGGGAATCTTTCTTTTAGATCAAAGTTATAGCTTGGTGGCAAGAAACTTTTTTAACAGGTTAGATACAGAGACTCTCGAATTCATTTTCATATAAGGATGAGTGTTTAGGAGACTGCCCAGACATTTACTCTCTCTCTCTTTTTAGTTGAATTGAGATATAATTGATAAATAAAATGGAAAAATATTTAAAGTATACAACTTGATGATTTGATATATGTATACACTATAAAAGGATTCTCCCGATTGAGTTAGCTAACACATCCATCACATCTCATATTTGCCCTGTTTTTGGTGAGAACATTTAAATTCTACTCTTCGCTGATTTCAATCTTACAATACAGTGCCATCAACTATAGTTACCATGTTATACATTAGCTCCTCAGACCTTTTTTATCTTACAGAAATTGACTTTTGAGTGTGAATGTTGCATGGGAAGTTCTAGTTCTAGAAACAACAAAGCACTTCCTGTTTGCTTTTAGGTGGAATCTCCAACTGATAAAGCAGGAAACTTCTTCTGCTCCAACCACTGGGACGGGGAGAGTCTGAACACTCAGCTGTTCACACAGGCATCGCCCGGGGCAGATGTGTCGGTAAGTACACGCCCCTGTTAAGATCCACCGGTGCCTCGAGGAACTCTGCGTGCCAACAGGGCTGCTGTGGTTCCAGCACTCCTCGATGCATCATTGAAACATTCTCTTGCGGGATTAGTTCCTTCCGATTATTAATGTTGCATATACATTTGAGATTTTGTTTATATATCGGAAATCAATTCTGTTCTATTGCAGAGTTGGTCGTCATTTGTTTTCTTAGGATTTGAGAGTTCTTGCCACTTAAAAAATCTGCTGTATGTATGTATGTATTTAACATGAAACAAAATGGTAATTTTTACATTTTCTTTTGATTTATGTGTTTGTTTTCTAAATATAATATTTCCTTGTTAAGTTGTCACTTGGTTGGTTCTATGTAGCATGTAGGGTAGTGCTAACCACGGTGGCTATGGTAGATGCCTTTTACTGTGCCCTGTATCAGATTGCTTTGGTTACCACCATTTTTAATAGACTTTATTTTTTATAGCAGAGATTTCCCATATACCCCCTGCCCCACACATGCACAGCCTTCCTCACGATCAACATCCCCCCTTAGAGTGGTACATTTGTTACAGTTATCACATCCAGTGCCTGTATTTTATATTAGGGCTCACTCTTGGTGTTGTAAATTTTATGGGTTTGGGTACATTTATGACATGTATCTACCAGTATAGTATCATACAGAGTAGTTTCACTGCCCTAAAAATCCTCTGTGCCCCACTTACTTATCCCTATTCCCCCCTCAGCCCTTGGCAACCAGCTGATCTTTTTACCGTCTCCATGGTTCTGCCTTTTACAGAAAGTCCTAGAGTTGGAGTCATACAGTATGGAGCCTTTTTAGACTGGCTTCTTTCAATGATACGTACTTTTGTTTCCTTCTTGTCTTTTCATGGCTTGGTGGCTTATTTCTTTTTTAGCACTTAGTTACCACCATTTTTAAAGTTTGCAATTTGTAATGATTGTCCTTTATGATGAATCAAAACTAGTAACGATTGCTAATATTTACTCAGTATGTACCCCAGTGGTAAGTACTATTTTAAGAGCTTTGGATACATTGACTCATTTAATCCTTTCAACAACCTTATAAGGTTGGTAATATCATTTCCATGATACCAGCTGAGAAACTGAGGCACAGGGAGGCTTAGTCACCTTCTCAAGATTATATAGCTAATAAATGGGGTTCTGGGTTAGAATTCAGAAAGTCTAGTTTTCAATTACGCTTTTAACCATTATACTATATTGCCACTAATTTGTACCTCTGAAATATTTTTGCACCAATATAGAAAATAAGTAGTTCTCTCACCAGAGATTAATAAAGCTTTCATTTTTAATAATTCATTTAGCAGATGTTTTCTGAGTGCCTATGTCACGCCCAGCTTTTTTTCTTACTGGTGTTGGCCGCCAGTGGGATTAGGGTTAGTACATAGTTAAGTCCTCTTTTTGGCTCCTTGAGAAGAGACTTCCTGGCAGATACCTGCATTTTCCCCCACTGTTGTGTCACCTCATAGCAATCTACTCACTGTTCTGTCAGAATTGTGTTGGCTCTCATATTATCCAACCTAATTCAAATTTCAAATTATTGTCTTTCCCTTTAGAATATTCTTACAAGTTCCGTTTTAATGATGCCAGTATCAGAAGATGAAGACAGTGTTCTCAAAGCATTTACAGTACCAAAAACCAGGTCCCTGGCGAGTCCCTTGCAGGTAATTACTATTCAAACATTGGTATCTTAAAAGTCATTCCCTAGGGGTAGGGCTGGGCGGAGTCTGTCCCTCACCCCGGCCCAGGGCCCAGTGCAACTGGCAACAGTTGAGGTGGACCATCCCACCCCCAATCAGAGCTCCTCTCTCCATTGGGGGTGCATAGGACCCCCGTGGGCTATGTATTGTCCACTTTGATGGTCAATCAGTTGGTCCCTTGATCGATAATCAATCTTTTGATTTTATCTCCAATTAAACTGGGGCTTTCGCTAGAAAACAAAAACAGAAAAGTCATTCACTGAAAAACTGTCACCTTGTTATCTTGTTTTTTTTTTTTTTTTGACAAGATTTTAGACATAGAGGAGTACTACTTCTGCTTTGAAATATTCTCTATAAAGTTCATGACTATAGTTTATGTTTTGTTCCAAAATTTTTTTATTCTTTGTCATTAAGCCATCAAAACTCAAGACTATTTAGATTTTAGATGAAGTTTGAAATGAGTTAGCTAAAAAACTAATTACAATATATTTGACTATCAGAATAAGAAAGTCAAATGTCAGTGCCATGTGGCTATGACCATCTGCCGCTGGGTTTTAATATCAAAAGAGATTTCTCTTGTAACTCTGAGGTTGGTATATGTTAATGAAATACAACAATTTTCAAATTAATCCTGCACCAAATGTAAACAGTAATGCAAATTTACTCCCCTAAATTATTTAAAGTAGTTCCCAACATAAATAGCCCAATACCCAGCCACCTGCAGAGCGCCCCCTCCACCTCCCTGAGCTACACTGAGGGGAACTTCACAAACCCTGGAGCACATAAAGAACCTGAATTGAGAAGTGGACAGTCGTGTGTGCTGCAAGTTAAGTGGAATAGGATGTGTGCTTTGAGAGCTTGCCCTTTCTTCAAAGGGAATTCCCATCTTTGCAGAAGGCCTTCTCTCTCCAAATTGTGGGCATCTTAAAACTTCCCCTTTTAAAGTATTTGTGATATTTAGCATTGTTTTTTAAGTGATACAAATAATGTAATGCAAATAAAACAGCTGGAAGGGTAATAGGCACATTTTGATGCTTAACTCAATCAGACCGTTTTCTTTGTGGCCTCTGTCTGAGCCAGCTGCTTTGGTGAAAGGTGACTGTGGACCAGTGTGGCTAGGCACACTCGGCACTTGTGCGGAGTCTGGAGAGGTTCCTGAGTCAGTCAAGTCCGTGTAGGCCCCATGTGCAGAAGACTGAGAATATCACAGAGAACTGGGAGATGACAAAGGACAAACTCTGCCGAGGCATAAGAGGGAGATAGAAGGTGGGTTAGAAGGATGTCCAGGCAAAGGTAGCTATTTCAGAATTTACCTAGTGCCGATCCCGGCTCCAGAATGCAGATACCCTCGTTTTCTTTCCCTCTCCCTCCCTAAATTACTTGGCCCTCGCTTCCCACAGCATAGGACTTGACTGTTATTCGTACAGTAAGCTAGATTAAGTTTTATATATATATACGTTGTAACAGCCTGGGATTGGACTTACATTTATAGTAATATATAAAAGGGACATTCTAAATTTCAAAGAGCAAACATGTTAATTTATTGGGGGGCAGTTATCATTACTTAAGTAGTTATGATTAAGGTGAAGATCCTTGGTTATTTTCCTAAAATCAAATCCTAAAAGCTTTTGACATAACCAAATAGTGTTTAGCCAAAAAAAAAACACAAACAAAAAACAAAAACCCTTTGAGCTGAACATGGTATTGATATAAAGTATATGTTGTATAAAATTGGCAAGTTGTCAGTACAGTTGGCCCTTGAACAGCATGGATTTGAACTGCGCAGGTCCACTTATATGTGGATTGTTTTCAATAAATATATAATAGTAGGCACTACGTATCCTCGGGTTTTGCACCCACAGATTCAACCAACCTCAGATCACAAACAGTATTTTCAATCTGCGATTGGTTGAATCTGCAATTGCAAAGGGCTGACTGTATGCATTAAAGAACATAATTTTATATAAAGGACTTGAACATCCGTGAATTTTGGTATTTGTGAGGTTCCTGGAACCAATTCCCCAAGGATGCTGAGGGATGACAAGTTTTAGGGGAGTCAGAAGTTATACACTGATTTTCAACTGCAGAGGTCGGTGCTCCTAACCCCCACATTGTTAAAGTCACTTGAATTTATAAAATATGGATTGTCCAGATTTTTACATTAGAGTTTTTAATGCTATTGCATTTTTTAAAAATCAGTACGGAACTTTATTATCAACATATTCATGTTTTATTTCAGGAAAAAATTTCTTATCTTAGAAACTCAAAATTAAGTAGTAGCTTTATTTTATTAATATTTACTCTAGCATATTAACAAGGCCTCTTTGGCACCGTACAGATTCTAACATCTGCATACTGAGGTTAAGCCAGATATGTATATCACATGGTGAAGGTGATATTTGTCCATTCTACTAAACTGAATATATGAGACTCAAAAAGTTCAATTTTAGAGTCCATGCTTCTGTCAGCACTATATGGTTTACTGATTTACACTGCTGAAGTGTATTTTAATAACCTGTTATAGTAGATAATTAATTCATTTTGAGAACCATTTATTAAATGAATTAATGCTACACACCAACTATATCCTTTGTTTGGTGACATAGAGATCTAGCTTCTGATACCATAAAAATGTGTGATTTCTAACATGTTTCAAACTTTTATGATAAATATTGGAAAGTGCATCAAATAATCCTAAATATTTAAACATATATTACCTATACTTCATATGATCCTAGTTCTACAAGATTTATATAGGTTTTTATGCAATGTGGTAATTTTGTTTATTTAAAACATAGTGCTTTATCATGTGTTTCCATGATAATTTGACCTAATTAGGCAGATCTCTCATGGATGATATTACCGAACATATTGTGCCTTTGTTAAATGGCGTGGCTATTTGACTTAGTACTTTCTATAACCTATAACTTCTGTAATTTGTACTTATAATAAATGAAATATTAAATGAGGTTTTAGCCAAACTTTATATTTTTATCATAGTGTTTTTAATTAAAGCAACTAAATATGATTCCTAAAATAGTTTAAAATTCTGCTATATCTGAAAAATTTCCACTTGTAATAATGCAGTATTATATAAATATTACCTATCCTTCTAATTATCTAAACAACTTTCCTTAGGTACAAGAACAGTTTATTGCAGACTACTGTAACTGAGCAGTTGTGTTTTCTGTCATTTTATTTTTAATCACCCCAGCTTAACTATGGGAGTAACACTTTAGATAGCAATTACGGTTTTTAAGCCCAGATACTGGGCCTTTGTGGTTCAGCTTCTCGTGCACATATAAATGCACATGCTTATACAGAAATGTGTGTAAATTACATTTGATATTTTAAAATTAGAACTGCAAAAAGTGATGGGTTTAATGTTTCATTATAAATCTCAACCATACATAAACATATAGAAAATATTCTATGACTTAGATTTAACAACTTATTAACATTTTCCCATGTTTACTTCATCTATTTTTTAGGAAGCGTTCTAAAATTCTAGACAATACAACATTTTACCCTTATGTATCTCTAAAAGTAAGGACTTTTTTTTTTTTATCCTCACTCGAGGACATTTTTGCATTTATCGTCAGATAGAGTGAGAGGAAAGGGAGGAAGAGAGAGAAACGTCGATGTGAGAGAGACACATCGAGTGTTTGCCATCCACATGACTCCAACGAGGGCCAGGGACAAACTGCAACTGAGGTACATGCCCTTAGCGGGAACCGAACCCAGGACTCTTTGGTCCACGGGCCAACACTCCAACTGCCGAGCCAAACCAACCAGGGCAGGACATTTTTGTATATACCCTGATACTGTTATCACACATTATTATTAACAATGCTTCCTTGATAGTGTAATTCTTGGACTGTATTTAAATTTCCCCATGAACCCAGAAAAGAATCTTTTTTATTTGGTCACAATTGAAACAGTTTCACACATTGCATTTGGTTCTTATGTCTCTTAAATCTCTCTTAATCTTTAGACCAAAGCTGTTCGACGGAACCTCTGCAGTAGTGGAAATGTTCCTTGTCGTGTACTGCTGTCGTGTGTGGCTAGTGCCCTGAGGAACAGCATTTTCTATTGTATTTCATTTAAATGGCTTTAATTTAATAGCCATGTTTCCTTTTTCTCTTCCTGGAAACCAACCATTTCCCCAGGGTGCTCTGACCATTTTAGTGGGAAATACATGTAGAGCCCAAAGTCGGGTGCTAAGTATGCCCATTTGTTATCTGAGCTGTCATTGAGAAACAATACATTTTAAGAAATCAGAATTCTCCATATATCCCCTAATACATAAACTATAATGTTTAAATAGAGGCGATTGTTAGCCATTATGCACAAATATAACTTTATTTGTACGTGATGGCTAACCATGTTATATTTGTTTTTAAAATTATATATGCTGAATTTTTTCCCAAAAGTAATTTGTGGTAGCTACATAATCTTATAATTGTTGGGTTTCTTGTTTTGTTTTCTTTTTTAAGGTGCTTTAATTTTAAATTGTAAAAGCAGACAGAGATTCATAGTTGAAATGTTCTGAGACGTTTTGTGTAGCTCAGAATATGTAAGATTTTCATGTTGCACCATTGTTCCATTTTTCCCACGTTGTGGGGTGGAGGGTAGAGGTTGGAGTCTAGAAGCTAAAAAATGATCACAGTGAGGAAATAAACATTCAGCCTAGAAAGCTTGAGCTGTTCAAGTTACCCTGAGAGAGCTCTCAAGAGAAGCGTGCACACTTACACACACACACACTCTCACTCCTCAGCAAAAGAGGTGCCTATTTTCCTCAATATGCTTCCAATTTACTTTACATCTTGAAATAAATACATTTCACCACCAAACATTTCTTAAGATCGACATTTTTATTAGTAGATCTGAAACTGTACTTAAGTTATAAGCCTTCTGAACTTCTGTATTTTTCTCTTAAATTATAATTTCCTTTTATTCCTATT